TTGTGAAATGGCTGCTTTCTGTTTTGTTTGTTTGAATTTTGAAGGGGAGTCATAACATAATGTCATGTGGGGCATCTTCAGGTGGTGATGCAGACATCTGTCCATTGACCTTGGCCTATTTTGATAAGGAGTTGTGCCTGCACATAGCACAGCAAGTAAGCATAAACAAGAAACTTTTCCCCCAGTTTATACTTTTTATTCTCTAAACCTCTAGTCTAGTGGTTCCCAAAGTGGTACTGCCCCCTGGGGGGTGGCAGGATGCCTTAGAGGTGCTAAGAGGCAAGGGGGCTGGCAGGGGGTGCAGTAAGTAGCAAGGGGGGGCGTTCGAGGCACCGGCCCTGCAGGTTCACCCATTGACTAGCACCGCTCCAGAGCCAGTGCCTCCAATGCAGAAACGGTGGCACATTATGTGCCTCTGCGGCTGCGTTTGATGCGCCACCCCCCTGCTGCCTCTTAGCGCCCCTCTGCTGGCCATCTTGGGGACAGTAAGAGGTGGCAGGGAGATGTTTGAGGCGCTGGCCCTGCAGGTTCACCCACTGACTGTCGTAACGCTCCAGAGCCAGCACCTCCAATGCGGAAGCAGTGGCACATTATGTGCCCCCACGGCCACGTTCAAAGTGCCACCCCCGTCACCTCTTAGCATCCCCAAGGGGGCCAGCAGAGGGGCATTAAGAGGTGGCAGGGGGTGTTCAAGGTGCTGGCTGGCCTTGCAGGTTCACCCATTGAGGCACCGGCTCCAGAGTCAATGTTTCCCAACTTGCCTGCGGGGGCGGCACCTCGAACGCAGTGGCAGTGGCATGGCTTTGCTCTACTTTTCCAATGCTGCACCACTGCCTGCCCTGGGCTTCCTCAACCCTGCCCTGTACTGGCTCCAGGAAGCAGGGAACAGCACCTCCCTCTACAACATGAGTGCCCCAGGAGGGGGGGCACTTGGGAGGCTGATCCCTGGCAGGAGGGGCAGCCTGTGAACTTGCTGTCAGGCACAGCAACTACAAAGAGGGGCAGGCTTGGTTGAATGGGATCCTGGATATTGGGCATGTGGTCAAAGCCTTCCTAACTATCTACCAATCTATCTATTTATCCATCCATCCATCCATCCATCCATCCATCCATCCATCCATCCATAAGTTCTGTCTGTCTGTCTTTCTGTCTGTCTGTCTACCTACCTACCTATCCATCCATCCATCCCTCCATCCATCCCTCCATCCATCCAAAAGGTCTGTCTGTCTGTCTTCCTTCCTGCTTGCCTGCCTGCCTACCTATCAATATATCTACCTACCTACCAATATATCTACCTACCTACCCATTGATATATCTATCTACCTACCCACCTGTCTCTCTGTCTCCCTGTCTTTGTCTCTATCTATCCATCCATACATCCATGTTCGAGGTGCCAGTTCCACAGGCACATCAAGAAAGTAGAGCAAAGCCAGTCTGGGAGGGAGGGAGGGGGGGAGAGTGAGAGAGAGATAGAGAGAGACCTGATGCATTGAATGTCCACATTGAAACATCTTTGGCTTCTATTAAAGGTTTTGTGGACGAAACATGGCCAAGACTATCAGGAAGCTCTCAAATTTTGTTGAGGCTTTAAACATGATCCATTGGACCAGACCTCCACCCTAAAAATTATTTTTCCCCAAAGAATTATAGTGCCAATTCTGAAGAAGGCAAGACCAAAATGTACTGGTAAATTACACACACACACACACACACACACACACACACACACACTCCCTTCTAACCCTACTGGAGCAGGTGATTGGACTAGAATAGATATCTTTCTCCTCCCTCCTTCCCTCCTTCTTTCTTTTTCTTTCTGTCCCTTCCTTCCATCCCCCCTTTCTTTGTCACTTTTTCTTTCTTTCCGTTTTCTCTCTTTTTTTCCTTCTCTCTTTCTCTCTCTCTTTCTTTTCTCTTTCTCTCTTTCCCTCTCTCAGGCTCACCCCATTGACTTGGTTCACTGCTCCGATTGGATTTGGGCAGATCCCTCTGGTTCAGTGGGCTCAATGGGGTGGACCTGTGAGGCTGGCACCTAGAACGCAGCAGTGCCGGCATGTTTGAAAGTAGAGTAAAGCCAGAGGTTGGTAATTTTTTGCTGCAAAGAATAACAAAATCTTCTTGGTTGTACACAAGAAGGGACACATATGTCAATGCAATTCAGCAACATAAAATAAAGAAATACAAATAAAACACATCAACAAGAATCAGCTATTCACTACAAGAATCTAATCAGAGATTCTTTGCCGATTCTAGTCCAATTGACCTGCTCTAGCAGGGTTGGAAGGGAGTGTGTGTATATATGTGTGTGTATGGCTGTCAAAACTCCAATAACAGGTCAAGTATCTCTGGGGAGGCCAGTCATAAATTAGAACACTTGCTAAACAACCAGCCATTAAGTGAGGACCACTTGTATTTGGTTTGCCAGTCACCAAACCACACCCATCCAGTAACATGCCCACCAAACCACACCTACCTGGTCATGTGACCACCAAGCCACACCCAGGCAGTCACATGAACAGCAAGCCTTGTCCACCCAGTCACGTGACCAGCAAGCCACACCCTCAAATTAGGCCACAGAAATTTGAATCCCACCCCTGGGTGGGGGGCACTGAGGATGAATTTGTAGCACCAAGGGTGCAAGGTGGTGCACTTAAAAAGTTTGGGAACCACTGCTCTAGCCCATTTTCCACACCCCCAAAGCCCAATTATTTCACTCCCCTCCTTTACTATGGCAGCCAAAAGAAGCAAAAGAAAGGAAAGGAATCTTGAAGGCTGACAGCTCCTAATAAATAACTGGATTTCTTTTGAAGCTTGGCCTGAGGCTCATGATTTAATTAGGGCATTGGTCAGAATCCTGACACAATTGCTTGCAAATTTCAACACCCAACATATCTTTACATGTGAAGATCCCATTTTTTCTGATACTGATGATCAATAGTATACCTACACATTCCTATGAAAAATGCCAAGCTTGGTAGCACCCTTTGAACAATTTACTGATGTCATTAGTTAGTTCATTAGTCTTTCTTAGTTGAAACATTTTGATTGTTATCACAGCTTACCCACTTTGTTCTTGATCACACTCTTCCTGATAAACTCTTCCTGCTTCAATGTCTTTATATATTTTGGTACAGAACTTATGTCAACATGGTAATCAGTGAAAACCACCTGCAGTTGACAGTGAATTCTATATAAAGGAACTCCTTCAGCAGTTGAGAATGAAGTCATAGTGCACAATTAAACATTTTTTCTTGGTTATTTCACAGTCTACAGGATCTAATGCAGCTTTCTGCTAACTGAAGTGAAAAAAATAAGTGCTAAAGAACACGATAGAGCTTCTACTGTGTCAGTACTACTATCTGTTGGCAATTTATAACATTGGTTGCATTACATTTCTTTCAATCCTAGAATGGGATGATTGTTTTAGGAAAGTGAAAGAGTAGCCATTTTTCAATTTCCTATGTTGTTTCTGCTTCTAAGAACAGATATTTATTCCTCTCAGATGTCAAAATCATTTGATCAGCTTTGGGTACAATTAAGCTTATGCAGATTGTCCTTAATTGGGTACAATTGAGCTTATGCAGATAGTCAATTTACAACTATTAGTTTAGTGACAATGACATTTCAAAAATGATTTACAACCTGTTTTTGTAACATCCCTATAGATATCTGAACAAAATTTGGTTACTTGGAAACTGGTTTGTATTTATGAGATTGCAGCATCCTGGGGTCATATGCATTTTATCCATTTGCAATTTTCCCAGTCAGTTTCTGACAAGCAGAGTCAAGGGGAAGAAGGTGGATTTGCTTAATGATCACATGATTTGCTTAACAGTTGTAGGAAAAAAGGCATAAAATTGGCCATGTCTCATTTAACAATTACAGTTTTACAGAACCTTATAGAACAACAGAAGTGGAAAAGACTTTGTAGGTCATTTTGTCCAACCCCCTGCTGGTGACCCTATATAATTTCTGACAAGTGTCCAGTCTCTTCTTGAAAGCCTCCGCAGATGAAGCACTACCCTGCTTAGCAATGAAAATTTTGGTCCCAGTAGTGGTTGTAAGTTGAGGAATGTATTATCTTTTAAGGATGGGTGCTCTTTGCTTATCTATTACTTTGTTCTGTCCTTCCCTTTAGGAGAGTGCATGCTTTTTATGTAGTATTGCCAGTAATATATGCACTAAAGTAAATATTAACTACCTGGGTGCTTTTCCAAATGTCAGTGGATAAGTTAGTCTGCTCAGAAATCTTGTAGCCTGTTTGAGGTGTAAATATATCCATCTTGAGATTTCCATCTCCAGGTTTTAGATCTAAGAATAGCATTGTATTGTGTAGCAAAACAAAGCAATTAATTAGGTCAAGAATAAATTGAAGAATAATTTAATCATGTGACCTACTTTAGTTGAAGAAAAAGAAGTAATACACAAAACAATGGATGTTTAAAAAAAAAGAGATTGAAAATACACTAATTTGATTCAATGAAGCTATTAATTGATTGGATATTGGTATTAAATTAACTAGGGTTTTTCATTTAATAGTTAGTCATTTGGAAAAAGTAACCTGTTAAGAGATTAATGTTTCTGAAGAGCCAAAGCATTTTCCCCCTGAAAATATATAAAGTTGTATACTTATGTTGGTCTCAATGCTGCATTAAGAGTTGAGGCCCAGGGACAGAGCAGATGTTGTGCAATATTGCTTTTTATTTAGATTAAAGCTAGATGAAGATTACTTGATTATGCAAACAAAAAGTCACATCTTAAAAAAAAAATCTATCTCTTTTTATATCAGGTTGTATCAAAAAGTGTTAGAAATTTAGAAAAATTGGGAAGTATAATTTATTAAGTTTAGCACTATCTCAGGTTTTAATTGATTTTTATTAAGTTTGAAATATACAAATATTGTTCTGCTGGGTAACTAATCCTAGTTTTACCTAAATTGACAGTTGCTAGTGATCAATGAAGAATATGTATTAGCAGATTTGCTGTGTTTTTCTTTGTAGGACGCACGTCAGAAATTCCGGTCAATTCTGGTGGAAGCTACAATAAAACTCGATGAACTTGTGAAGAAGATTGGAAAATCTGTAGAAGATTCAAAGCCTTACTGGGAAGCCCGAAGGGTTGCAAGGAAGGTAAGAATACAATTGAAAAAACGATTCAGTTAGTTGATTAGAATCCAACTTTAATTATAGAGGCACAATAAAAACACAATGGAACCTCGGATCACAAATGCTCCTGTTCATGACCAAATTGGGTGGCGAACAAAAAATCCACAATCCACTCAGGTGGTGAACAAAATCAGAGCAGAAAGATTCCCTTTCTATGCCAATTTCCCCTTCAGAGACATTTTTTTTGACTGCACACATTTGCAGTTGGTTGTGCTTGCGGACACCAAATTGGGTCACAACTGGAGTCCGGGAACGGATTATGGTCACAATCCAAGTCTCCACTATACAATGGTATTGTTTATAGCATATGATCTGCATGCTATGATGGATATTTCAACTGTGTGCTTCCTATGAGATAGTGACCTTTTTCTGCTTCCAAGTGTGATGAATACCACCCACATGGATCTTATTAAAAGGCTCATTTGTTCTTTTTCTCAGACTCTACTATTAATATCATTGCAAAATTTCTTGTAATCCATTTATTGTAAATACATTGCAGTTATTTTAAATACATAATAGAAACAATTATTGGCCTTAGAATTTTCTCTTTTGGTTTAATTATGACTTATAGAGAGCTGCAGTATAGATTTTTCCTTCCCTAAACAAAAGGAAAAAATAATTGTGATATCACCTAAATTATTCTTTTTCTTACAGTGGAATATGGGCGGGTTTGTTGGAATAAATTTTCTGAATTCATTCCCAGCTGGGAAAAACCATGGATGCTGAAAAGAAATGAATTCCAGAGCAACTGTCAGAAAGTGGGATTCTTTAATGAAGGAAAACAAAAAGCAGGTGTGACACAGTTCAAGCATTTCCTGGGTTGCAAGCCAGCTTGGGGTGTGTGAATCTGAGCCTTTTATGCTTAATTCCCCTTTGAAACTCCTGTAGCTTGATGGGTTTATTTGTGTGCCCATAGTTAAAGTGATTGCCCTGGATCCTGTTTTCCTGCCTTAATGGGTTAATCCTGTCCCAGGACCTTTGTCTTTCCTAGCCTGGGTGTCAGATCTGTATATCTGCCATTCTTCAATGGAAGAAGGGGGGGGGGGAGTTGGTACAAGTAATCCCTTTTGATGTAACCTGAATATCTTAAGTCTTTATTGAATCTGTATAATTTGCACATGATATACAACTGGGAACTGGAGCCCAGATGCGTGGAAATTTGTCACCTCTTGGAGAGATAGCAAGAGGTGAAAGGCCATAAAAATTCCAGCTCCAAAAGAAACTTCCTGGGAAACTTCTCAACTATGTTCCTGAAAAAAAAGGGGGGGTGAATTTAACATATTGCTGCTTTGTACTGATGAAATCCACATCAGAACTAAGGGGAGGGGTTCTATGCTGCATGTCTGGAGGCATATTAGACCCTGCTTTGACTATTACCTGGATAACTTCCTTTTCAATAAAGAATTCCTTTTGAAATACCCAGTTTTCAGAAGTTCATTCTTATCGCTTGAAGGTGAGACAGTCTGGGCCTTACATAAAGCAGGGTCTGCAATAGTGGTCAACCCAGAAAGAATTTTTTTTTCTCCTTTCAAAAAAGAACTTCACTCTACTGCGGGAACCCTGCAAAAAATGTCTGAACAGAGCAACGAGCAAGGGTAAGCCAAATGCTGAGGAGAAACTTTGACAACTACCCAGCCAGACACTGGCTTTGTGGACCCCATCAAAGACACCAAAGACACCTGCAAAGATTCCATGAAGCCCTGATGGTCTATAGGTGTAGGAAAGAGAGACAGCTGGGATGGAAGAACCCTCACCCATGGTAACTGTAAATGCAGGTGGAAAATGGACCTGGAAGCCCTTTCTGATCAGGAAGAATGGGTTGAGGAACCACTGGCAGATGACTGACTGAAACGGTACATAAATAGCCTCATGAGGGAAGCCCTGGAGGGCGGGATGAACCAGGTTGCCAACAAAGGAGGGCGAGCGAACCAGAAATTGAGAGAACCCAAGCCTGATACAGCTGAGAATGATCGAGCAATGGAACAAGCCTGAGAACCAGCAGCCATGCCAGGTACCCAACCCCTTGCCATTCCAGAGCAGGGAATTAATCCCGGCCAACCCAGAGACATGCCTGGAGAGAAAGATCACACCCTTGGGGGTAAAATTTGAGGTGGACTGCCAGAAATTGGGATTCTTCCTAGCACAAGTCCTCACCTATATGCAAGAATATGGATGGAATTTCCCAACCCAGGGGGCCTGAGTGTGAGTAGGGGCAGCCACCAGATGGATGGTAACTATTATAGATTAAGGAATGAGAGACCAAACCAGAGCATTCACAAGTAAAGGCTTTATTCAACGGAATAAAGGGCTGTCGCGTCTGCATACTAACAAGCAGACATGCTCAGCGAACAGCAGCTGGCTCGACCTAGCAGCCGGCTTTTATAGCCGGCTGTCGAAGGGAGCCAGCCAATGGGAGCTGTAAACGCCCCCGCAGTATAGACGGACTTGGTTGGGAACTTCGGTCAGTTCCAAGGACATAACACCCCTTCCCCCCAGATGCGAACATGAATAGTCTTTTAAATATGCAGGTGGTCTGTGCGAGCGCCCGGACCGGCGCAGTTCAGGTGAGTCACTGAGTGGATCAGAGTTCACGGGATCAGGATTGGTGGGTGCTGGAGAGCGGGGTTGCTCTGGGACCTGATCAGGTGTCTGTGAATAGTCTCTACCACCGGGTTGGCTTGTAGTATAGTCATTGTCCAACAACCCGGTGGCATCGCTGGTCGGCAAGGCTGGCATCTCTGGCAGACGGTCCCGGTCTACCGTCCGTTCCCCTCGCTCGGTCGGTGGTGACAGGCCCCTCAGATGGTCCCCGATCGGATTCTGGTGTTGCGACTGGAGATCAACAGGAGTCCATTGGCATGACCACTCTGGCGCTTCCTTATCTGATCCAGATGTCTCCGCCAAACTCACCCGTCCTCCAGTTGCACTTGGTACGATCTTGGACCGGTGATGGCCACGACTCTCCCTGGTACCCATAGCGGATCGCCGGCGTAGTTCCTGACAAACACAGGGTCCTGCAACACAAAATCTCTGACCCTGCTGTCAGACCCGATAGGAGTGTCAGGGCAATAATGGGGATGCAGCCTGTCTAACACCGTTCTCAGACGTCTGCCCATTAGGAGCTCGGCAGGAGACTTGTTTGTAACCGTACAGGGGGTCGTGTGTTGGCTCAAGAGAAAACGGGAGAGCTTAGAGTGCCAGTCCTCTTGATTGAATCTGGCCAACGCCTCCTTTGTTGACCTAATGGCTCTCTCTGCCAACCCATTGCTGGCAGGATGAAAGGGGGCCGTTAAGATGTGCCGGATGCCCAGGTTGGTGACATACCGGCTGAATTCTGTAGACGTAAATTGTGGGCCATTGTCCGAGACTAGAGTGTCAGGCAGCCCGTGTGTTACAAATAGACGGGTCAGGGCTTGGGCAACTGCCCGGGTGGTGGTCGTGGGTAGTAGGGCCACATCGATCCACTTGGAATACGAATCCACGACCACCAAGAAGGTCTTGCCGTGCATTGGCCCGGCCAAGTCAATGTGCAGCCGTGACCACGGTGCATTGGCACTCTCCCACTTGGTTGGGGTGGTGATTGGCGGTGCTGGCCTGGATTCCTGACAGGGTCGGCAAGAGCTTACCCATTTGGCGATCTCGTCGTCCATGCCCGGCCACCAGACGTAACTTCGAGCTAACGCCTTCATCCAGACGATGCCTGGGTGACCCTCGTGCAGCGCCTTCAGGACAGGTGTGCGCAGGGAGCTTGGAATGATGACTCTGGTTCCCCACAACAGGCAGCCCTGTAAACTGGAAAGCTCTTGCTGGCGGGTTTTAAATGGTGTGAATTCAGTTGTGAAATTAGTGACCGGCCACCCCCTCCGTACCCAGTCCAGAACCTGGGCGATTGTTTTGTCTTTTTTGGAGTGAAAGGCGATGTCGCCTGAGGTGACAGGTAGGTTGAGCTCGCTGACATCGAAGATGGCATGGACCGGAGCCGGGTCCTCTACAGGGGTTGGCAGTGGGCAGCGGCTGAGTGCGTCGGCGTGGCTTAGGGTTTTTCCCGGCCGGTGAACGAGTTTGTACGAGTAGGCCACCAGGAATAAGGTCCACCTTGTCATCCTGGGTGACAAGACTTGGGGTGTTTGTTTGTCCCCTGACAATAGCCCCAGAAGCGGCTTGTGGTCTGTGATGAGTTCGAATTTGTGACCAAAAAGAAATTCATGGAATTTTTTTACCGCAGCCACTGCGGCTAGGGCCTCTTTATCAATTTGGCTATAATTACGCTCGGTTGGTGAAAAGGTTCTGGAAAAGAAAGCGATTGGTGCCTCGGAGCCGTTGGGGAGTCTGTGGCTTAAGACAGCCCCGATCCCGAAGGGGGATGCGTCTGCTGCTAAGACTAAAGGGAGGTGCTGGTCGAATTGGATTAGGACAGCGTCAGAGGTGAGCAGCGATTTGACTGCTTTAAAAGCATACTCCTCTTTGGGTCCCCAATGCCACGGTGCGTTTTTGTCTAAAAGTCTGTGTAACGGTTCGGCTACTGACGCTTTGTGGGGTAGGAACGAAGCGTAGAAATTTAATAAGCCTAGGAAAGCCTGTAATTCAGACTTTGTGGAAGGCGTGGGTGCCTCGTGAATTGCTTTAACTTTAGATTCTACCGGGTGGATGCCAGAGGCATCTATTCTATACCCAAGAAAGTCCACCCGTTTAGTGGCGATGGCACACTTCTCCCTTTTTAGCTTGAGGCCATGCTGTCTGAACTTGTCTAAAACCGCTCTGACTCTTTGGAAGAGTTGGGGCCTGTCCCTGGCTGAGACCAATATGTCATCAAAATAAGGAACCACGCCAGGGAGGCCTTGGAGTATTCGTTCCATTAATGACTGAAAAATGCCTGGGGCAACACTAACGCCAAATTGGAGACGCCTGCACCTGAATGCCCCTCTGTGAGTGACAATAGTTTGTAAATCGGCGGTTTGACTGTCAACAGGAAACTGCTGATAAGCCTGTGACATATCCAATTTGGCGAAAATGGTGCCAGGCTCAAATGTGTGGAGTAAGTGCTGGATTACCGGGACTGGGTAAGCGCTAACCTGTAGGTAGCAGTTAATTGTGGTCTTATAATCAGAACAAATTCTTAAACTGCCATCCTTCTTAAGGGGTGTGACAATTGGGGTTTCCCATTTAGCAAAATCCGTGGGCTCAATCACCCCCTGTTTGAGTAATTTGTCCAGTTCCGCGTCCAGTTTAGGGCGTAGCGCAAGTGGTACTCTACGCGGTTTTAAACGGATGGGAACTGCTTGGGGGTCCACTGAAAAAGAAATGGGTGTGCCATTGTAACACCCTAATTCGTTGCTGAACACATCAGCATAGTCTGCAAATAGGGAGTCAATGTCTGAAGTTGAGACAGCATGGACTCCCGTTAAGCTAAGACTGAGATAGGGGAACCAATCCAACCCCAACAAGCTAGGGAGGGCACCGTCAACAACCACTAAAGGCAGATGGCCTTTAAAGGATTTGAATTTAACGAGGAACTTGCCTTTTCCGAGTACTGGAATATTCTTCCCTTGATAGTCCCTCAAGGTGAGGCGGCTCTTCTGGAGTTGGCTCCTAGACAGGCTGGGCCGGATTTTCTTAAGAGTGTTCCATGAGATGATCGAGAGCGCTGACCCGGTATCGACCTCCATGAGACAAGGTTTACCTTCTAAATGAATAGAAAGTGTGATTTTATTAGGTGTCAGAAAAGTGTGATTAGCT